AAATAAATATCGTCAAATAATCGTGATCTCAATTTCAGTGAAAATAATCGTGATTATCATTTTTTGCCATAATCGAGCAGCCCTAGGTCTGTCTCTTTTCCGTTGTTAATTGCCTTTTTCTCGCCATTTTTGTAATAACACATTACTTTCTGCAGTACAATACTGTTCAATTGATGCTCACGAGGGTACGGTATCACAGTGTGTTCCAACACTGCTTTTATGCAGACAGAGGGGGTTGTAAGTAATCCAGAAAAGTTAGGACAGCTGTAGGAATTAGTAGCACCAGCTTTAAGGCTTGGTCAACCTCCATTGCTGCAGCTTTAAATTGTTAATGTATTTTGTGTTCCCTGAAAAAGGTGTTTTTGTATAACTCTGAAGTGTACATTATTTTTCAGTTTTGGTAACCTTACCCCTTTTTTTTTTAACCTCTGGGTGTTCACCACTTACCTTTGTACCATTTCAAGCTATTCATTGGACTTGAACGACTTGAATTGGAATGAATAACTGGAAAAATTGGGGTGTTCTAAGACTTATGACCGTTAGTGTATATTGCAGAGTAACATTTTGGGCTTTAAAGACAGCAGCTTGGAAAATAAAGATGAGCTAGTGACATTTATAAAACCAGAATTGTTGTATGAGAATTATGAAGCTAGCTGAAGAGATAAATGCTATGATCATCAGATTGGTCAAGATACATCCCAGCTAGCGACATACTGTCCTGGTCGTCATCCGGAGAACAAAATAATAAAACGAGATGCTTCAACTTTTAAAACCTTGGACATAGAGTGCCATATTGTGGCAGACTTTGCCTAAGACCTAGAGTAGGTCGAGACGGTGCAACCCTTCTTTATTCTCTGCAGCAGCTGTTCATTGCTGCGTTTTGAACTGCTTATATTTGTCTGCAAAGGTTCTCAGTCATCCAGGTCATCATAGTCTAAGGAGCTTTGAAAGAAAAGTGTTCTTTAAATTTCATCTCTTCAAGCTTCACGGATGAGAGGTGAAACATCTTCAGGGAAACTTAAAGAACCACCAATTGCTCTTAGGATTTGGTGGTCCCAGATTTTAAGCCCTATGGGAGTGTCCACAAGAGGGTCATGGACCCCCTATTGATCCTCTACCTAATCACACGAGCCAAGGTATGAAAACGGGTGTGGGTTACAATCAGCCAAGGTTTCGGGTGAACCCATTGTGAAGCCTAGCCCAACCCCATCATGATTGGGCGGTTATCAATGGTAGACAGTTGGTGTCGTAAACCATCGCCTCTGTTCAAAGATGGTCGCTCACAGTGGACATAGATGGCTTCTTTCACTCCTCTTTCAAACCATCTGTCTTCTCTGTCCAAAATGTGAACATTGGCATCCTTGAAAGAGTGACCTTTGTCCTTTAGATGCAGATAGACAGCCGAGTCTTGTCCCGTTAAGGTGGCTCTTCTGTGTTGTGCATTATGAAGTGGCTGTTTGGTCTCTTCAGTCTGGAGGTCTGAGCATTCCTCGCTACACTGTACAGCATGCACTACGTTGTTAATTTTGTGTTTGGGAGTTTTGCCTATATTGTGCCCGTGTGTATTTAGGTTGATCACAAAAAAATGACCCTATTGACAATAACATATTGTACTTGCATTGATGTCAAAAATAGCCCAGGGAGTCAGGTCGACTCCTGCTGAAGAGAGACAGCATGCAAGAAACTCGGGGAGTCCAGGAGGGCAACAACAAGGGAGCAAAAAACAAAAGTGCAAATTTTATATGACATAACAGGAACGAAATGATGCAGTGAACAAGATAAAATAAAGTACTGGAAAAGTGTTAGAGCAGTACATACATTGCAAGTTATAAATGGGTCCTGACCTTGGAAAGAAGATCACCATCTTCTTTCCAAGGTCAGGACCCATTTATATCTAAAAAAACAAACATTTCCCCAGGCTAGGTTCATGTCGATGTGTTGTTCTTGACAATTTGCTTAATTTGCGTGTGTGCATTCTTAGTTTTGTCTGACCTGATTTAGTTTGCTTTGCGTCACAAGACCTGTTGTAGAGAGGGGACGATTCACTCTCTAAATGCCTTTTATAAAATTATTACTTATTGCATGGCATACCAAAGTATACATTTAAATTTAAACTCCTCCTCTGGGTACATATATCATTCAAAATTAGGAATAGCATGTTAAGTAATTGATTATTGTAGTAACTGTTGTTTTAACCAAGCTGGCCCTGAAGTAGGTATTTAGCATGCTAGCTGCCGTGTGTCTGCTGGCAGCTGCTTGCTATTAGCCGCTGGTTTGATTTTGAGTCTCTCAATGACTCACTTGTTCTCTCAGTATGCAGATGAGTAGAGTTGAAAGCAATAGTGTTGTTCCTTTCTCTCTGCCTCCTCGCACTGTAATTTGTCTTGACATATTCAGGGAGGGTGACAGAGGATGTAAGGTTAGGAAAATGTCTCATTTGTTCGCTTAGGTAAACAGCTGCTATTCCCAAAGGTGAGAGCTGAGATCCGTTCAGATGAATCACCAGATATTGTGTTGCTTACATGAAAAGCACTGCAACCTTATAGGTCTGACTATTAATTTGGTTATTATATCATAGCTGTCCTCTGTGTGCTATATTGTTAATTAGATAATTGCTTGTAGCAACAATGCCTTTTTTTAAATTTTATTTTATTTTTAAATAGATTTTTTAATGCCTATATTTTAACTTGTGCTCATCTCTTCTTCCCCTTCTTTAAGTCTGCTCCTGGCAGCGGATGTCTCGTCGCCTCCGTCTGAGGTTGGAGGCCAGTTGGCGTCAGGAGGTGGGTCCTAAGCAGCAGCAGTGATGCGGGCTTCAGTGGCAGGTTGCAGGATGAGTGTGGGTGCACTTGTTAATGGTCTGCTGGTCTCTGTGGTCGCAGCTCTGCTTTGGAAATATTCCAAGCTGAGTGAGCATGCTGCTCTGTTGGAGGAAGAGCTGCATATGACACAGCAGTCCCAGGAGGTCTCACAGGCCCGTATCGACTACCATGTTGCTCTGCAGGCGCTTCAGGAACACGGCACCCGCATGGTCTGCACTGGGAAGATGCACACTGACCGCATCTGCCGCTTTGACTACCTCTGTTACAGCTCTGAGGCAGAGGAGTTTGTGTTCTTCCATTCCAATTCCTCTGTCATGCTGCCTAACCTGGGGTCCAGACGTTTCCAACCTGCCCTGCTGGACTTGTCTTCAGTAGAAGATCACAATACCCAATATTTCAACTTTCTAGAGCTCCCAGCTGCTGCTTTAAAGTTTATGCCCAAGCCTGTGTTTGTACCAGATATAACACTGATCCTGAATCGGTTTAATCCTGATAACCTCATGCATGTATTCCACGACGACCTCCTCCCAGCCTACTATACCATGAACCAGTATTCAGATTTGGATGACGAGGCTCGTCTTGTGTTCATGGAGGGCTGGAGCGAAGGCCCACACTTTGACCTTTACCGTCTTCTCAGTAGTAAGCAACCGCTTCTCAAAGAACAGCTTAAGAACTTTGGAAAGCTCATGTGCTTTACTAAATCTTATGTTGGCTTGTCCAAAATGACTACCTGGTACCAATATGGCTTTGTCCAGCCACAGGGGCCCAAAGCTAACATCTTGGTCTCAGGCAATGAGATCAGGCAGTTTGCCAGAGCTCTGATGGACAAAATGAACATTACAAGGGTAGAGGAGATGGAGAAGGAGGGAGGAAGCGGTGAGGATGAGAAGGAGAAAGAGAAGAAGGATGACTACATTGTCGTTTTCAGTCGGTCAACAACAAGACTTATACTGAATGAAGCAGAGGTAATCATGGCGCTGGCCCAAGAGTTTCAGATGAGAGTGGTCACAGTGTCCTTGGAAGAGCAGTCTTTTCCCAGTATTGTACAGGTCATCAGTGGCGCTTCCATGTTGGTCAGCATGCATGGAGCTCAGCTTATCACCTCACTCTTCCTCCCTAGAGGTGCTGCTGTGGTGGAGCTGTTCCCTTTTGCTGTGAACCCTGAGCAGTATACACCATATAGAACTCTTGCCTCCCTTCCAGGCATGGACATTCACTACATCTCCTGGAGGAACACTAAGGAGGAGAATACTGTCACCCACCCAGACAGACCCTGGGAACAAGGAGGCATTGCTCACTTGGACAAAGAGGAGCAGGATCGGATCCAGGCAAGCAAGGAAGTCCCCAGGCACCTTTGCTGCCGCAACCCAGAGTGGCTCTTCCGGATCTATCAGGACACTTTAGTGGACATCCCATCCTTTCTGGAAGTCCTCAAAGAAGGCATGAAGACCAAGCCCAGCTTAAAAAAGGCCAAGGTGGCCAGCACGGTCCATCCGGGCCGGGTCAGAGAACCTAAATGTCAAACTTCAGTACAAACCACTAATGAGGCTAAACTCACAGTCTCTTGGCAGATCCCATGGAATTTGAAATTCTTAAAAGTGAGAGAGGTGAAGTACGAGGTGTGGATCCAGGAGCAGGGAGAGAACACCTACATGCCTTATATCCTTCCCCAGCAGAACTACACGTTTTCAGAAAACATTAAGCCCTTCACCACTTACCTGGTGTGGGTTAGGTGCATCTTCAACAAGAATCTATTAGGCCCCTTTGCTGATGTTCTTACATGCAGGACCTAGAGTGAGCACAAGGCCTGCTTGTTTGTTTGTGCAGTTTCATATAATGGTGAAGTCACTGTTTCAGTCAATCACTTTGGAAAAGGGGGACTCTGTTGGATTATGGTCTGTAAAATGGCTGTTGCATGGTGCTGTTTCCATGCTCAGCCCGGGATGAACTGCAGAAGAACCATGGTCAGAAACGGCCAGAAACGAATGAAAAGTTCATCGCTTATATTTAGAAAGAAAGTGCAAAAAACTTTGTCTCTTCTAATAAAACTAGAATTCAGATCAGCAGATTTATTTGTGAAAAATAATATATAAAATGTTTTATGTGTTAGTCAAAACACTGGTTCTTTACCTTTTACAGAATGCAATGTAGTTTCTCTGTAAGGAACAAAATACATTTTAGAATACGATTTTTAAAAAAATGGTTTTTGACTATTGGTGCGTGCGTGCGTGTGTGTTTTCATGGTGTCCGTTTGGGGGAAAAAAATATTCAGGCCTGATATTTAAGATTATATAATTTAATTGCACAAAAATTTTGATTCTACTCGTTTTTTACATAGTTTAAATGTAAAGTAATAAAAATAATGTAATGCATATTTGTCAGTAAGATGTAGTCTTACTGACAAATAAATACTGTTTGACACATTTTTTACAATTACATGTATTGCTTTATGTTAAGACTATGCAATCTAAATGGAATTAAAATTGATATGCAATTAAAATACATATTACTTCTAGTACCAGGCCTAACTTTTTGTGTGGCGTCTTTTGCCTCACAATTGTTAAATTCCATACACAGTCATTTACAGGATCTAGTCAAAACCAAAGCAACCTTTTTCACATGGTTTCAGCTACTCATCGTTCATGTCAGCCATCTCAGATCATAGAGCTCTTTTCTTATATTTGCTAAGTTTAACACTGCTTCCAAAAATGTCACGAAGGACTCACAGATAATGCAACAGTTTCACAATACAGCAGTAATCAGTGTCTTGGAAATTCACAGTCAAGTCATTTCAGAACATATCGTAGAGTTTAATATCTTTAGATTAGTTCCTCTTATGTAATATTTATAGCTCCACACTGCCCGGTAACAAATCACTTCTCTCTGTTTTCCTGCTTAAATAAATTCCTTCATAAATAATTAATTTTTCTCTAATTGGCAGTAATTACAACTGTAATATTATCATTTTCTCGAGTGTATATCTGTTACGCCAGGCTGTAATTAGCGTTAAGCATTTTCCCTGCTGTATCCAGCAGTTTGCTGCTGGACAGTTGGATTTCACTGCCTTGTGTAAAAAGCATTTTCCTTAATCTAACAAGGTATTTTTGCAGCTTAGTGTTTCACAGCCTTGTGTGAACCTCTGTTAATTAGGATAAAATTCCCAGTTATGTGTCTTTTAACTTACATTCCTCTAAGGTTTTCTGGCTGGTATAAGGAAGTCTAATATTGAATTTTAGCTGGAAACAGCTGCCTGTTAAACATGTTTTAGTGTAGTCTGCAAATGAAATACTGCATGTGGGTAGCACCAGTGCACAAATGTACTGATAAATCTTTAAATGGAGGTGAAACTATGTCATAGTAGGAATGTAGCAAGAGATGTTTTATGGAATGGCAAAACACTGCCATCAGAATAATGACTTATATTGTTGAGATTGCGCCATTTTCCTTACTGTACACTTTATGATGTCCCCCCTGCAATTTTGTGGCTGCTGCTCCTTTTTGCTTTTATTTTCATGCCTTTTCTGTTTTCCTCCACTTTTCATGTGCAGTTGTTTATCACTGCATGTTCAAGAGATTATTTTAAGCAACTGCTGTGTGTTCAGGATGTGATTGATTAGATATGTATGTGTTAGTGTTGTTGATTAAATTTCTGTGTATCTCTGTATGTGCCGAGTAAAACACGAGTCTCTGTTTTCTGTTAGCAAATAGTTTTTTTTTTTTTTCAGTGAGTGTGATTGAATAAAGAAGCTTATTTCTTAGCTTTCTTGTCTGTGATATCTGTTATAGCTCCATGATTTATCAGTCAGGTAATATTATAAGCTGACACAGAACTAGATGTGCTGGTGTATGGTATAATTGTTTTTTCGATAATGAACATGTATATTTATTTTTACAGGACATACTGAGTTCATACCTAGTGTCATCATAGTGTTTGCCAATCAGAGATGCTCGTTCCCCTTTGTGTTTTAAAGCTGCATTCACACTGGAGGTGTCTGTCCCACTGACTTTGTGCTGGGAGCAGTTATTTTGTCCATAAGTCACTGAATGTCATTCATTTTCTATGGTCCCTGGTTACCATGTCACTGCAAACTGCTTCCATTGTGGACACAACTTTACTCTTAATGTCCTCTGCCTCACACGTATTAGAGCAGCATCACAGATGAACACAGCTGATGACAGTGAGTCGAGTGGTGTCTTCATGTTAAGGTTCTTCTTTTTTGTTTTGTTTAGTAACTAAAAATAGATTGTTGGTTTAGTTTACTTGAAAAAGTATCTCTTCTTCAAGTGCTCAAACATCTCAAAGCCCATAAAGTTGCTAGCCAGTAGCTGATGTTTTCCACTTCAGAGGTGTTACTTGCTAATTTACTGACTAATCTTTAAATAATGTAGTATCAGTATCATTGCTGAGATGCAACTCTCAAGTAAAAATCAGCGAATAAAATTCATCCAAATCAAAGCTGCTGTGGTGGAGCCACCCAAATATTCACTCAGTTAAGAGCAACTCCACTGGTGGACAGGAAGCTTCACTTTATTGTTTGTTGGGGGGTTTTTTAACAGTCAAATATGGATCCAGGCAGTGTAGGAACACAGTGGGCCCTTCTTCCCTTTTCCCTTATTGATACCTTCCAGCAGGGTATGATCAATAATGGATAATAATCAAGAATAATTTATGGAGATTGATCTTTTTCTTCCTCCCCACACAGGTCAGGAGTCACAGTCAGCTGTCAGTGATTCAGTGTGTTGCTCAAGGACACTTGAGCGATGCAGATGCTTGCTCAAGTGGGATTTTAGCTTTAGCCCATTAGAGGGAAGCAAATGAACTGGCCCCAGGTTCATAAGATAAGAGTACAGGGGAGAATCAGGCACCTACAGTGCGAGTTAAACCTTTTCAATTACCACCATCATTTAATAATTGATTTCGCTGAACCACTTATTCTTGTCAGGGTTACTGTGGCCTGGAGCCAGTCACAGCATGCTCTTGGAAGAAAGAAGGAAGAGTTCAGCACTGCTTGCAAGTACTTTTTATGAATCGAGCCACAGTCTAACTTATTTATTTTATCTGAACGGACAGTGGGTAAAAACAAAAGCTATCAAACATAGTTTGATTGCACTTAAGCCTTGGTCCTAATGCTGCTAAGTCACTTTTTTTTTCACGCTGCTGGACTTGCAGCTACTAGAACAAAGATTTCAAAGATGGACAAAGTGATGTTTTTGCTGTCACGTTAAAGACAGAGCACAGAACAGCAAAACACATATACTAACTCAAGTTATATTTATTTTTCAGGTTAACGTGCTTGTGATGATCATGATTCACACACATATACACACAATTTAAGCTTTGGCATCTTAACCAAGAACTAGCATTAGCCCACTTTGCATCGTGACCCATAACGGCAAGAAAACGTGTTTCCAAAAATGTGCAAATTTGACAAACCTAAGGTGTGTGAAATACAACCATCTCTGAAATTTGGCACACTTTACTGTGCCTCAGGTTTGGCTCTGTTAGACCTTCTAGTTACTGGCTGGCATGGTGCTGCAGTTTTTCAAATGGTAATGAAATGCTAATTGTCTTGGATAGTGGGAGGTTTAAGCTTTTCACAGTGTTATGGATACAGTAAAAGCTCACCCAATAATTTGCTTACCTTTTTGTTAGCAAAATGGTTACTTTTGTAAAACTGTGGACATATGAGTATTAAAAGTCAAAAATTACCTACAATCTCTCTGAATATTAAGAAAGGCAGCTGCACAAAAATGAACTAAGAGGACAAGGTGTGCATAGTTAGAGAGCAGGTTTCAGTTTCCCTGCAGTCTGCTGCAATATTGTTACACAAAGGCCCTGACTACAGGTGCACAAAAAGCAGAAATTCTGATACCGAAATGGAGAAAATATCTTTTTTCTGACAACACAAGCCAATGACTGGTGTCTTAAATTACCGTATTTCTGATCCAGTAGCCAATAGACTAGAGGCAAGTTAGAAATTGTTAAAGTTGTATATACTGAGAGTACATCTCCTGCTCTGTACTCACTGATAATTTATGCATTAACTATCAAGCAGGGCTTCACAGGCTCTAATGTATGCGCAGCTCTGAGAAGCTGATGGCCAGTCTATTTTTGCATCATATACAACAAAGGCAATACCACTGTATGTTTTCCAGTGGACATAATGAAGTGTGGCCAGGGGCTCTGTAATGTGTTATGTAGTTTTTAAGTGGATTATCTAACGGACAAATCAATTATGATTTGTCCTCGACAGGCTAATTCATCTCTTTTTTGTAATAAAGGTTAATTAGACTGACTTCTTTTAGAAACAATTTCAGATTTTATTTTTCTCATGTGTTTGTTCCTAACTTAAATAATAGATGGCATATACCATGTTCCGGTCACCATATTGTCAGAAGGTATATTGCCCAGAAGACATGATTTTAGTAAAAAAAAACCCACTGCAGTACAATGACCCATCACCTCTCCAGAACAACGGACCAGATTTCCTGGTCAGAGCTCAGATTCTGCCCAGCTCCTCTCTTCAGTTCCTGTAGTGCTTTGTGCTCCCAGGGCTATTTTCTGCTAGCTTAACCGCAGATACAAGATGGCACCTGACAGGTGCAGAGGGGCAAGTGGCCGGATTAAGTGACAGTGGCCCTCCCTGGAGTGGAAGAAGAGGGAGCCAACCACAGCAGGGAGAGATGGACTACATGTGTGTGATACAAAGCTTCACTGAGACTGAGCAAAATAATAAAGCATGAATATTTTTATATATATTAAAAGAGAAAATCACTGAATTTGTACTTGTTACGCCTTTTCAGAGTATTTTATCTGAGAGTTGACTGCGTGAATGTAACTCCAAACAGGTTTCTAAGAGGGTCCGTTCCACTCTGTGAAGCCGTGTAATCCCTTTATTTCAGCAAAGTAACTGTATTCTGAATACCACCTTTTTAAACGGTAACTGTAACGGAAAACAGTTACTCATATTTTGTATTTTAAATACGTAACGGCGGTACATGTATTCCGTTACTCCCCAACACTGTATATATGCATATGTATATATGTATATGTATATATACAGCGTGCTCAGTGAATACCTCAGGCAGCAGAAACCCAAGAAAGTGGAGGAAGGCGAGGAACCATCATGGAAGGACAGGGCCCTGCACGGTATGTACCACCGGTAGATAGAGGAGGTGGCTGATATCCAGAAATCCTAC